CCTTGCTTGGGCCCCGCCTTTCCTTACCGCGCCCCCCCCCCCCCCCCCCCCCGTGCATGGGGCCCCTCTGGCTTGTCTCTAGGACACCTGTGGGGGGCTGTGTCCCGGTGGCCCCCATCCCATGCCATCCACCATCCTGGGTTCAGTGTTCTCCCCACATCCCCCCTCGAGGGCTCCTCTTTCTCTCCTCCTCGCGGACAGGGGCGCCTTAAAGGTTTGCTGTCACGTGTGTCCCTAGCGCAGTGATGGCGAACCTATGACACGCGTGTCAGAGGTGACACACGAACTCATTTTTTTGTTGATTTTTCTTTGTTAAATGGCATTTAAATATATAAAATAAATATCAAAAATATAAGTCTTTGTTTTACTGTGGTTGCAAATATCAAAAAATTTCCATATGTGACCCGGCACCAGAGTTAAGTTAGGGTTTTTCAAGATGCTGACACGCCGAGCTCAGAGGTTCGCCAGCACTGGCCTAGCACACCTATCTCATCAGCATGTCACACTGTTCCGCACGGGGCTGCTTCCTCCAGACCCTGGGGTGTTCCCTGCCCGAGGCCCTCCACGTTCTGAGGAAGAAAACCCGAATCCTCGGTGGGCAGGACGCATCTATTGAGCACCGACTGTATCCTGGGCGGTGCGGCTGGGGCTGCGCCGGACCCGAGGGCCCTGCCCCCGTGAAGGAGCAGGCAGAGCCCAGACAAACTCACAGAGGCAGCCCATGTCGCTGGGGCTGTGGCTTGCACTTGAATATGAGGACATCGGAGTGGAGAGAAGTGCATCAGGTGGAACCCCATGTCCGGAAGGCTCACAAGCTGGATGCATGAGACCCTGGGTCCACGGGAACCTGGGTGTATGGAGACCTGGGTGCATGGGGCCCTGGGTGTATGGAGACCTGGGTGCATGGAGACCTGGGTGATGGAGACCTGGGTGATGGAGACCTGGGTGCACGGAGACCTGGGTGATGGGACCTGGGTGTATGGAGACCTGGGTGCATGGGGCCCTGGGTGTATGGAGAACTGGGTGCACGGAGACCTGGGTGCATGGAGACCTGGGTGATGGAGACCTGGGTGCACGGAGACCTGGGTGATGGACACCTGGGTGCACGGAGACCTGGGTGCACGGAGACCTGGGTGATGGACACCTGGGTGCACGGAGACCTGGGTGCACGGAGACCTGGGTGATGGACACCTGGGTGCACGGAGACCTGGGTGCACGGAGACCTGGGTGATGGACACCTGGGTGCACGGAGACCTGGGTGCACGGAGACCTGGGTGATGGACACCTGGGTGCACGGAGACCTGGGTGCACGGAGACCTGGGTGATGGACACCTGGGTGCACGGAGACCTGGGTGCACGGAGACCTGGGTGATGGACACCTGGGTGCACGGAGACCTGGGTGCACGGAGACCTGGGTGATGGACACCTGGGTGCACGGAGACCTGGGTGCACGGAGACCTGGGTGATGGACACCTGGGTGCACGGAGACCTGGGTGCACGGAGACCTGGGTGATGGACACCTGGGTGCACGGAGACCTGGGTGCACGGAGACCTGGGTGATGGACACCTGGGTGCACGGAGACCTGGGTGCAAGGAGACCTGGGTACACAGTGATTGGGTGATGGAGACCTGGGTGCACAGAGACCTGGGTGATGGAGAACTGCGTGATGGGACCTGGGTGCACGGAGATCTGGGTGATGGAGATCTGGGTGATGGAGATCTGGGTGCACAGAGACCTGGGTGATGGAGAACTGGGTGATGGAGACCTGGGTGCACGGAGACCTGGGTGCACGGAGACCTGGGTGCACGGAGACCTGGGTGCACGGAGACCTGGGTGCACGGAGACCTGGGTGCACAGAGACCTGGGTGATGGAGACCTGGGTGACGGAGAACTGGGTGGTGGAGACCTGGGTGGTGGAGACCTGGGTGCATGGGGGCCTCTCTGCACGGAGACCTGTGGCCTCGACTCCTTGGACAGAGGCACTGCACAGCCACGGTGGTGACTGCTGTGTCCTGGGAAGTGTATTTCTTTTTCTGCTAGGTCTCCCTATAGGGAAGCATCGACCTGCCCGGAGGCTGATGGGAGGAGCCGTGGCAGCCCAGTCCGCAGTCTGCGGAGATCTGCACCGTCTTCAAGGCCCAGCTCGCATCTCCTGCCGTCTGGGCACTTAGGGTGATTTACGGGCCCTCGTTAATGCGGCGGGAACTGGATGGGCCCGAAGTCACAGCCAACAATTAAGACGCGCCATTGATTCCACTCAAAGCAAGTGGGCAGTTGAAGGGCACTTGAGATGGGTCCTCCAGGGAGGCACCGGTGTGGGCCACGTGGGTGTGCAGCCTGCTCTGCGGGTGCAAACCCCACCGTGACCTTGAACAAAGCCGCTCTCCCATCCCCCTCCCACAAAGGCAAGTCCCCACCTGGCGGCGGGTTGCTGGGAAGAGCACATGCGGTCAGGTGTGCCTGTGGCCGCTGTTACCTGTGAGCAGGTAACGGGGGAGGGAGCGGCTTGCCAGGCGCTGTGGCTGTAGGACTGTAGCCGCCATCGGTGATGAGGCATCACGCTGTAA